GGTTCTCTTCCTGCTCCAACATTTTTCCCACGATTCTATTGCGGGAAACAATGTAATTGGACTACACAGTGTAATAAAACTAAATCAATAAACACATTATCGATTTATGGAGCTTAATTAATAACCCAACATTTGTCACTTCTTAAAAAGAAAATCCAAATAACTTAAACACCTATCTGCTTTAATTAGTGTATAATTGTCTGTCTGTCTTTTATTCTGTGTTTTTGGCACACATTAAAAATATTAATGAAATTACAAATGAATAGTTTATTTGCAAAAACAGATAACTACATTTTTGTACATTTTCAGAAACTTATTTTTTTGTTGTTTGCTCCAGATAATATCAATCAAACTGAAGCTGAGTGGATTTGACTCATTAGAAATTACATTAAAAATAGAGAAAACTTAAGTTTGATTGATATTGTCTCAGGCAGAAGATGGAAAAGTGGGTTTTCTGAAGGTTTGGGAAGATGGAGTTTTCTGTTTTTGCAAATGAACTCCTCAAATACACTCAGAATATAAAATAAAATTAAAAACTGGGAATCACCCAACTTTTCTTTTACGTCGTAAAATAAAAATTTGACATAAAAAAACCAGTCAGATATACGCTGATGTCCTTTTTACTTCATTAACATGAACTCCAATACTCTAAAAATCTTTCTTTTTTAGTTGTAATGACGAACAAAGAACAGAGAAAAATAACTGGTTCAGTAAATGCACACATTTTATGTTAAATGGGAGATTGCTTGTATAACTACAGACGACAAAAATGTTGAACAAAATGCAGTTTTATCATTTTATATCTAACTTACTGTTTATCTATCCGTCTGCTTGTCCATCCATATGCTATTACTGACAGCTTCATTGTTTTTATACATGTACATATATTTAATTAACATTTAAAAGCCCAAAATTACACCGGATATCAGGCTAAATGTATTTAAATCAGGGACTGTATTTTTAAGAGAAAGTCATTCTCTGTTATTCTTCAGTCATTTTTCAGCTGCTGATATTTTTCTGTTTTCTTCCTATTTGTGTTTTTTTTCCTACAGTGTGTGAACTCTTTGCCAGTGACCCAGAGGACACACAAGTATTTAAAATGAGACCTCACAGATGCTGAGCTCCTCCAAACATGGACCACACCAGGCTGCTAGTTTTCCAACTAAAGTCCCACATCTGTGTATTAAAAGCAGATTTCAACTCTGCCATCGGAGCTGCTCACAGACTTCTGGTGGTTAATGCAACACAGACACAGGAAACATTCAATTAAGTCGATTACAAAGAGGTTAACTTACAAAAATAAAACCCTCCAAAGTTCTATTTTTATCATCAAGGTCATTTTTTGTGAACCTGACAAAAAAAAAAAAAACCATTATGATCAGCTGTATTCATCATTTAACCCTGAACGCACCACTGTGACTATGAAGCTGCACCACTGGAGCATTAACAGGGCTCCACACTAACTTTTTCTAAAAAACTGGGTCGCACCTCCCACCTTGCCGCAGTGAAAACACCCGACTAACCGAACATCTGCTTGTGGACAGACAAGGAAATGTACCGATGTTCCCTAAACGCCTCCCAGTGCAGGCTGTGGTAGAAGGCTGTGGTGGACTCAGACAGGTGGGCGACCACAAATTACTTTAAAAACCAGTTAAATAGGGCAGATTTGTCCAAAATGAAACCAAGTGGGGTTTTAGTTTTTTCTCTATGTGTGCTTTTCATGAGAAGAGCTCATTTTTAGGTGTATTCAAAGTCACCAGTATGATGATGGGAAGCTAAAATCATTATTTTGATTTTTGCTCATTTAATTTTGCAGCTTCTGGAGCTTTGATTAATTATGAGGGCATTCATATACAATTACCTGAATTCTTTGTAGTGGTAATTTTATTAAAGTCTCACATTTTTTACAAAAGATGCACCAGCCTTTCTTCTGAAGCACATTCGTTTGATCTGTTATTTTCACCTCCATCACACGGCGTCTTCGCCTGAGTTTCCTTGCAGCTCTATTCCGGTATTTAGTTAATTAAAATGTTTAACGATGAAAGTTTGAGCCATTTCAGACATTTTCAACGCCTTAATGGATCAGTTCTGGTTCTTATGATTCCTAAATAATATCAGGGAGAAACATTTTCCACAATTAAAGTACAACATTTTATAATGAGGCAACTCAAATAAAAGTGGAACAGGTGCGTTTCTCACTTTTGCTCCAGACATTAAAGTTTTTCTGTAACACTCTCAAAGAAAAATATATTTTTACTTTTCAACCACAGAAATTGTGTTAATATTAATACATAAATGAATATCATGAGTGACACGGGTGCTTAAATAAAGATTAGTAAAGCTAATTGTGTCTTTTTGTGCACAATTGTGATAATATTAAGAATTTAAGGCCAGTTTGTCACATTTGAGCTGACGTCACAGAACAAATCCCCTAACTTTCTATGTATGGGATTGTATCGGCTAAACTTTTAGATGGTCTTTTTTTCTATTTCTTTTTTGCAGCTTTTACTTTCATCTACAAAAACACCCTAAAATTAGCATTTGGAAAGTTGTGCAGCAGGACTGCAGACAATGTGAATCCAAAGTTCCAGCAGAAAACAAGAACAGCTGGTCAGATGTGATGACCTCGTGACCTCTCACATCCTCCGGCGGCTGCATGTTTTCACCTC